AATTCAGGACACTATTTTTTAAAACGCGTTGCTTGAATAAAACTAACAAGACACATTCAATTTACCAGACTATTGAACAACTAGGAAAAGTGAAAAAAATAATTCTTATCGCCAGCATAAATGCGTATTTTTTTTTTTTTACAGAAAAAGTAATTTTTCACCTTTGATTGAGTAACGCGTCGTAGAATTCAGATACGGGCATGCAAAATACACTTGTGAAAAGCTTGAAGTCTGGCGATTCTAAAAATATATACTTTCCCGGGTCTATTTGTAGTCATTTAGTCACAATTAGAAGATGAAAACAAGTATGCAAATAATAGTCCCGCTACCTTAAGTTGATACAGTATAACAATGTCGGTGCCAGGGATCTCTCGTTGGTGCACAACTTAATAGCCAAAACAAAAAGCATTTCAACACTGCTATTATAAGACTGGTAGGAGGTAATACATTTAGGGCGAATATAATCAACAATCGGTTATGAGGCTGTTGCCAAGACAACGATGTGTCAGGAATTATTTTTAGATTTTATCACCAACAACTGTTACAGTGAAGGTATGACCTGCCTACCAAGTATGAACAAAATCCAGCCAGCCCCCCAAAAAAATCACAGAATAGTTAAAAAGCTGTTCCCGGCGAAAGTTACCACAATTCTCGAGGTCAAATTTCTCGCTCATGAAAAAAAGCTATTAAACAAAAACAGTGGTACCTTTGTTCCCGCACTCATATCATCCAAGAATGTTGTCTTGTGCTAGAACCAGTAACTTTTATTTAAATTATATTCTTATAATAAGATAAGTTTGAGATGAGAAAAACGGAATTTGCGAACGTAAAAAAAACACATATAAAGATGAAAAAGTCAATGGTTGGAAAAAAAATAATATAATATAATATAATATAATATAATATATAGTATAATATAATATGACAGTTGTAGATATTATGTTATTTGCACCACAGCTGTAACATGGAGGTGTGTTTCATTGAGGTGACATTACGGTGACACATTCATATTCTCACAATTGTCGTTCTGATAAAAATTAATCAATTTTACACATATTGATATCGTGGCGACAGCTGGCACTTACAAAAATGAGTGCTCGATTAAAAACCATGATGGGAACAGTTTTATACAAGTTTTATGTATTGACTGAAAGTAAAAATAACCAATAACACTGTTTTCGTTGATTAATGTCGAAAAAAAATAATTATGAAATTAATATTGCCAATCGATTATCATCGAATCTATTATCCTAAATGATATATTGTCTACATTCCTAAATTAAAAATGTCAATTTTCAATAATATTTCGTTTTCACAAAAACATCAGAAACTATTTGCATTCAAAATTGATGTTTATCTACATTTAATTAATTTACGTTTAACAGTGATTCAGAATGGTAATGGTATATAATTGTGCATGTACGAATGCTTATTCACTCGGTGACAAGTCACACTGGTAAGTATAATCAGATTAATCTATATGTTATATTCAATGTCACTTTGCATTTCTCATATTTCTTCAATTCGATGAAGTTCATTGTGAAAACCTGGTTGTATCTATCTGTATCCACAAATATGTAGAATATTGTCATGTTTGCTAGGAAACGCTCTTGTTATTATTTCCCCTTCTTTTATGTATTGCAAATAATATATCATTTATTCGGTGTTAAAGGCAGTGCAGTCTATACATCATGAAGCCGAATTTCATCGCTGTGGCTGTTCTATACGTGCTCATTTTATTAGAAGTAGATGTTTCCGGTGTACATGGGAAATCCATGAGAGAATATGGTAAGATATCTGTTGAAGTTCACGGTGTGAGTTCATTAACAATCGCCTTTCAGAAACGATGGATTAATGCTCAATTATAATTCGATACATTGTTAATATACACATTATATATTTAAACTGTTTAATAATAGAAGTAGACAGATTGTTACAATTTCAGACAGTTCTAGCTGTGTGATAAGCATAATTATTGAAATTTAGCCCATATTCCAACACTCTTTTAATCAGAAACGGGAGAGGTTTTTTGTCTACATTTTGAATTTTTAACGTACTAGTACAATGTTCCAGCTTACTGCCTCCACATACTACCTTGGAGCATATAAGAAATTGACGTATGTTAGTTGCGTTGCCATAGTTAGAAAAGTATATACTAGTAGATTCAGCCAATCATAATGTTCCTTGAATCTATAATGAGGAATATTTTCTATTTTTAGATACAATTTCAAAGAAAGGCGACTCACTCAGATACCAATTAAAAAATACTATATTAATTAACATAGCTAATACCTTCCATGTTTAATCATTTCACCACCAGCTCTTTTCTTCCCAAATCACAAAATAGTCTTGTTTATAGTCTGCACTTTCCGTCAAAAGATAACTTTTTGAGTAAAAAACGAAAATTGACCCAAATTTTGTCTGTTGGCAAAAGAGTTCATTTCCATGAATATTGAAGAATATTAAACGAAAATGCAAAAAAATTTGGGCGACAAAGACAGGTGGTGAAAAGGTTAATGCAATTCTATAGTCATGTATAGGTAAAGGCTATAGTTTCCGACGCTGAAAATTAACGTTGATGTTGGTACTGATTTACATGCAGTGAATCGAAAGTCTCAGACACTGGTTTTGATCGCAACGGTTACTAATTTGTTGAATTCCATCATTGTACTGGCGCGACAAAATGCGACAACAAAATGCGATCACCGTACCGCCGGTGATTGCGGGCGATGACCGAGGAGAGTCGGGTCGTTCCCATGGTATTATATATATCATATTTTTATTCTGAGTAACATATTTATGATTATATTATACCAGTATAATGACGGTTGATTTGATTTGATTGGTCCAAACACAAAATTTGCATATGCAATTAATGGTTTATTGGCTGATAATGCACGGCTAAACCAAGTGGCCCTGGAACATGAATTGACTACAAGTTTAATATTTGATTCTTAGAGAAATATAGCGGTTGAATTTTGGAAAAATATTGAAAAAAATACCGAATTAAAAACATTTGAAAAATTATATAACCATAATATTTTTTTTTGTTAATGGTGGGATCCAAGTTGTGAGCGTCGGTCGTTGGGTGATTGTCGTTCGCCACACAAACCTAAACCACTCTCAACATCGTGAGGTGCTTAAACGAACGTCAGAACGCTGTGTTCCACGTGTTGTGATTTTGAGATGGATTGCGAACCTCCATCAAAGAAAACATGTTCTTTAAGTACTAGATGTGATTGAGGATTGAAGGACAAAAAAAATGCAAAAAACTACTACAATATCAACTGTCCCGTAGCGGCGTTCGAAGTCACAGAAAGTGAAATTACACCTGGGTAATTGCCATCTGTTTCAAAGAACACGGGACAACGCAGAATTGGATGACGATATATGGTATTGTAATTCTCCACTACGGTAAAAAAAAATACAAGAGATGATGAAGGTAATTTCGAAAGCTGCAGATTTGTGCCGAGTGTACACCAACCATTGCGACGGCGTGCAAAGTCTTTCTTTCGGCCGGAGTTGAGACAAGGCATATCATGTACGTCCCACAAAACGATGTGAGAATCCGATCTTACACCATCAAACTCACCCCAGAACAACGACAAAACTTGAATGAACGTGCATTCAACGCCACAAGTTTTTTGTTTTTTTAGCCAATCAGAATTCATCTTCCGAGCCAGTGCAGATCAGCAGAAACTTTGGTTATACCGAAGGTATCCAGGTCAGATGTTGGGACTGAGGTCGCCGCACATGATACACCGCGACCCGCCGCGTCTCAAATTTGAACGTCAAATATCCACAGTTACAAGTAGTACGATGAGTCACAAAACCGGTTTATTTCACAACTGTATGTACTTTCAATGGGAAAATTACAATCCAAATTGTACAAAAAACGGAATGAAAACGTGGAAAATCCGTTGTTTTAATGATCCAAACTGTACACGACCCTGTATTTCAAATGGCGTTGATACAGTCAGTAAAAGGTCAGAAAGGTCATCTTTTGTTATGCTAATATTTGTGTTTACGTTGCTCTATTCACCGTGGATATGTTTCGTTTTCATGCGGAATAAAAATTAGTTTGTATTCAATTTGAACTGTGTTGCGTATGTAATTGTTGTATGCATTCAACGTACAACTACTATCTATTCTTATAAATATTCATGTTTAAGGGTCATAATCATGATCTTTTAGTAGATGAAAGTAAACTCTTTTTTTACTAGTTTTATCGAATTGTCAATATACTGGTATAATCTAATAGCAATAACCCCCGCCGAAGTTGGGTATACCACTTGACATTGCACAATTCACTCCATATATGTCGTGAATTGTGCAATATCTATACATTACAGCAATGATATAGATGATAATTTATTTTCAGTTCAACGGGCAAGTGTTATTGGCCAGAAGTTGATTGTTGATGCATCATCCGATGTGGCTGTCACTACATATATACCCGACCTCACAGACGTGTCAGCTTGTTTGTGGTTGAAAACTAAAGAAACCAACGACGGAACACCAATATCCTATGCTATCAGCGAGGAGTTCAACGAGTTGATCCTTTTTGATACCGGTAATTTGAGAGTTTATGTACGAGGCAAAAATGGTGGCAAAAGTGGTATTGCTGTGAATGATGATGATTGGCACCATTTGTGTGTCACGTGGTCATCTAGTGGAGGACTGTGGAATATCTATGATGATGGTCATTTAGCTGCATCCGGATCGGGTCTCCAGAGTGGTGATGCCATCCGAGGAGGCGGTGTCATGACCCTTGGACAGGAACAAGACAGCCTACGTGGTGGATATGATTCTAAACAAGCATTAAAAGGAGAGCTTGCGTTCTTCAATATGTGGAGCAGAATTCTGACTGATAATGAAATAGGCCAGCTGGCTACAGACTGTAATGGTGAGACAGATGGTGACCTGTTTGCATGGAGTTTGGGTAATCTTGACCTTGGTGGCAGTGTTAACACTCTCCCAGCTGATATATGTCGTAAGTTATAATAATTTTTCATTATAGTTGTTAATACATGTATATATATATATAATATAAACAAGTAAAAGTGTCATATTTGGACTGAGTATTATAGTGTTCTCTACGAATATTGCACACGCATTTTGAAATTTAATCACAATCAAATGACAATGGAAAGTTTTTACTATTTAATATGTATTTTATAATGTGCGTATCATGTGCATCTTAATAGAATGAATAGCTTAATGTTGTTGTAATACATTAGTGACTTGATTTAGAGATTGGTCTATAGCATCATTCCATTTCTCTATAAGTCTCTGATATATAATCAGGTTATTGCCTCTCATCGGCGTAGCTCAAGTTTAACCTGTTGATATCCTGTTCATTAACATGATGGATCACAGTCATAATTTCCATTGGCATTGAACACATCGGTTAGAAGATTTTTGTGAATCACGTAACCAATCTGAAGACAAAAAATACAATCCCAACCCCCTTGTTCATTGAATGTGAATTTTGTCACACAAGTTGGTGAAACAAATATACCAATACAGAGCTGTTCTTGCTCATAAGTGCCCCAACACTTACAGCGGCCCGGGATTTGAAGAACACAATTACAATATTGCCTTACTAGCAATCGAGCAAATTCAGTCTAGTATATCATTTGTTTTATGCACAAGCTTTTATCCCATTGTGAGTGTTATTGTGACCTGATACTTATGTGAAGTGCAAATAACATCATCATCGTAAATCACACGGAAAATGAAAGCATAACTACCAAATACATAGGGATGAGTGATTTCATCCATAAGTTAGTCGATGGATTTGTATAAAATGTTTGGTTGGTACAATGGTCAACTTATGGTCTCAGGAATTTTATCATAACATGATGACTCATTATTTAATTACTTGAAATATTCATCAATTAACTCTTTTCGGAAAACCTAACATCACTTCATGTTTAACTAAGAGTTCATACATGATTCTTTTACTGATTTGACTGTGTGATTTGATTGTGCATGTTAGTTGTTTTGTCAACTGTTTATTTTATTTTTCTTGGACTTGTACATTCCACGATACAACTTGTTTAGAGATCTAAAGTCGGGTATGTTTATTCAACCTTTCAATGCAATGAGTAAAATAATCATTGTAAATAAACACAAAGACAACCTTCACAACTGTATATGTATCCGCATTAATATTAAGTTCTAATATATTTATTTTAAAAATACAATTGATTTGCAGTTGAATGGACAGGTGATGAGAAGTTAGTTGTTGATGTTTCATCGGATGTGGCTGTTACCACACCCATTCCCGAACTCACAGACGTGTCAGCTTGTTTGTGGTTAAAAACTAAAGCTACCAACGACGGAACACCAATATCCTATGCTATCAGTGGAGAGTTCAACGAGTTGATCCTTTTTGATACCAGTAATTTGAGATTTTATGTACGAGGGGGAAATGGTGGCAAAAGTGGTATTGCCGTGAATGACAATGATTGGCACCATTTGTGTGTCACGTGGTCATCTAGTGGAGGACTGTGGAATATCTATGATGATGGTGCTTTGGCTGCATCCGGATCAGGTCTCCAGAGTGGTAATGTCATCCGAGGAGGCGGTGTAATGACCCTTGGACAGGAACAAGACAGCTTACGTGGTGGATATGACTCTAAACAAGCATTAAAAGGAGAGCTTGCCTACTTCAATATGTGGAGCAGAATTCTGACTGATGCCGAAATAGGACAACTGGCAACAGAGTGTAATGGCGAGACAGAAGGAAACCTTTTTGCGTGGAGTTCCGGTAATCTAGACCTTGATGGTAGTGTTGGAACTCTCCCAGCTGATATATGTCGTAAGTTATATTGAAATTGTTGCCTTCTGTTAATTTTTGCAATCTATCTTACAGAATATATACAAAGAATTAAGTGTCACACTAAATGTTGACTATCCCCCCCCCCGCGACATTTCCTCGCAGAATTATTCTACAAACTTAGCTTTATATTTGAGCTATTGTCCACAGCAAGATTGTATTGCTAAGATACTTCCTCACAAACAATAAAGAGGAATCTCAATAGTGCAAAAGTGTTTTCCATCCACCTTTTTGAGTTAAAGATATTATTTCTCACCAATAGCATATGTATAAATACATTAGCATACATTTTGAATACAATTGACTTTCAGTTCAGTGGTCAGGTGATGAGAAGTTAGTTGTTGATGAATCATCGGATGTGGCTATTACCACGCCCATTCCCGAACTCACAGACGTGTCAGCTTGTTTGTGGTTAAAAACTAAAGCTACCAACGACGGAACACCAATATCCTATGCTATCAGTGGAGAGTTCAACGAGTTGATCCTTTTTGATACCAGTAATTTGAGAGTTTATGTACGTGGGGAAAATGGTGGCAAAAGTGGCATTGCTGTGAATGATGATGATTGGCACCATTTGTGTGTCACGTGGTCATCTAGTGGAGGACTGTGGAATATCTATAATGATGGTGCTTTGGCTGCATCCGGATCGGGTCTCCAGAGTGGTAATGTCATCCGAGGAGGCGGTGTAATGACCCTTGGACAGGAACAGGACAGCTTACGTGGTGGATATGACTCTAAGCAAGCATTAAAAGGAGAGCTTGCATACTTCAATATGTGGAGCAGAATTCTAACTGATGCCGAAATAGGCCAACTGGCTGCAGAGTGTCATGGCCACACAGAAGGTGATCTGTTTGCTTGGAGTTCGGCGGATATTGACCTTGATGGCAATCCTGAGAAACTTCCAGCTGATATATGTCGTGAGTAATGCAACTGACTGTATTTGATTGTTTTGTATTTATTCTTTCAGCACATTATATATTGTATTGATATTTATATTTAAATGTACTGTTGGCTAATCGAAAATATATGCAAATATTCGGTTATATAAACATGGAACAAAAATGTATTATTCGCGAATTATGACATTCTCTCCCTGTAGCACCAACAACCAAAGCACCGACTACTACTACTGCAGCACAAACTACTGCAGTAAAAACAACTGGCGCACCAACTACAGCTGCACAACCAACTGACGCACCTACTACTGCAGCAAAAACAACTGCTGCTCTAACTACTGCAGCAAAAACAACTGCTGCACTAACTACTGCAGCAAAAACAACTGCTGCACTAACTACTGCAGCAAAAACAACTCCTGCAGCACAAACAAATGCCGCACCAATCACAGGTAAGTGCACCATCATATTACAATAATCATAGTTGATTTTTGAAAAAGCAAAATAATTATTATGCTTAATAAACATTGATTCAAACAGAGCTCACTGAAATTCAAAATAATATCTATCTTGTTATTTACTTCGTCTCATTTCAATGGACGATCATACTGATGTAACTATGTTAATTGTAAGCCTATTGTTATTTGCATGTATTAAGAAATTATTTTGTTTCGATAGCAGATTCATAAATGTTAATAATTAAAATTATGCAATATATTATGACATTATTGATAGTGATCAAGCTTTTTATCTCTTTTACAAAAACGAAAATGTTCAATACAATCATAAGTATACTAGTGGTGATGGTGAATGAACTTTCCTGTGGTGCATTCATTTCAAACAATAAACTGGAAAATTGAATAATTATAAGTTTCTAATATTAATATTTTCTGAAAATTCAATAACTGGTTTGTTGTTTTTTATGCTAAATTGAACAGGACTACGCATATAACGTTCGCAAGGGTGTCTTCGTGTGTTTGATATTTTTTCGAATATTAAATGCTGTTTATTATCAAGGCAAATCACTTTTTTTATATTTATATAACAGACTGCATAACCCCAGCTCTTGTGAATATTGCTGTTGGCAAATCTGTTGCCCAGAGCTCAACCAAAAAAACCGAGACAGATGCAGGTCGTGCTGTTGACGGGGACAAGAACAGTGATTTGGAAGCCGGGTTATCCTGCACGCAGACGGAAAAAGAATATCAACCATGGTGGAAGGTAGATCTTGGAGAAACTAGAGATGTTTATCAAGTTATCATCACAAATAGACAGGACTGTTGTTGTGAGTGTAATTTTTGTAATTGACTGCACTATACTGTTTATGCAGCTTTATCGTTACACAGGAAATATCAGTGTTTTACTCCGTATTTGGTAAAACATTCTGCGAGTGCACGCGTCAGAGGCGTGTGTGTGCACAGTAAATTCATGTAAAATTTCATTGACCCCACTTATATATAAAAATACGTTTAAACATTCCTAAATTTATGTTTTACTTGATCCCATGTTTGTATGAAGTTTTTAATCAAAATGTACTTATTGTCATTGTTCAAATCTACTTTGGTATTTATGTATTTCGTATAGGATACATGAATAAAGGGTACAGACACTCACAAATTAGAAAATAGTTTAGTTTAGTTTACTTTGCACAGCACCATACATCAGCTTGTGCATTTAATTTTTTTACAGAACAAAAATCTGCTGCTGTTTGTTGTTTTTTTCATTTGAAAACCCACCATGTAATAAAAGCAGAATGTTATGTATTTTGCTACCTTTATGTCCTCAAAAAATCAATATAATGTAAGCTAGTATTTTCCAGTATTTTTGAATATTTCTCGAATGAAAGATTTTATTGGCAAAGATCACCGATTATTCACACACTTTGAACTATATACTATAAATAGTTAATACTGAAAAATCAAAGACAAATACAAGTATTTTGAGACACAACATTATTTTAAGTAAAAATGTAATGCTTATGAATGAAATACATCAAAGGTTCTCCTCGGATCTGCAAATTTTATTGAATTTAATTAAACCCCAATGTAATTCCAAGTCTGTTTACTATACTCATTTATGTTTCTCATTTGCCTCAGCTTTCCGTTTGAAGAATGCTGAAATACGTGTTGGTGACAGTGATACTTTCGAGAATAATACAGTCTGTGGTGAGATGTTGGTTGCCAAAACAGCAAACCAAGAAACCATTGTCATGGATTGTGGATGTGGTCAACCGTTGAGAGGACGATATGTAATTATCCAACTGGTAGATAAACTACAAATGCTTCAGCTTTGTGAAGTAGAAGTAATGTCCGGCTAAGAATCTGAATGTTGTTTTCAGTATTTTAGTACATTTTATTTCTAATTATAATATTGTCAAGATGCTTCACAAAGTAACATCTATAAATTATTCGGTGTGTAGGTTGTAACTTGTTTAATATCAATAAATATCACTTAATCATTGCAGGTTTAACGTGTATATGGAAATGTGATGATGGATTGCATGGGCGTTGACTAATGTCATGTTAAGATATTGTTATGTAAGAAACTTAAGATGAGTGAAATTAGCTCTGTCGTAGAGGTTATGGTTTTGTATGTCAGTACACGGAAAAGCTGTGGACTTGTATTACATTTTAAACGAAATCTGAATCCGATTTCCATGCTAACATACATTTTGTGATTCTTCTTAACAAATAACAAATTTTCAAAAAAATTGTAGAAGAGCTCGTTGCCATTGCCAGATGAGGTCACGTATAAAAAGGTTGCAGAAATTGATATTCGCCATTGTGAATATAACGCTGATAAATTATTATAACTTTAATACTCTCTACTGGCAAAAGGTAGATCACATATTGTAATAATTAAAGCTTGAAGAGACATCAACAGAAGCGGTTTATGGTATGACCTGATAAGGTCTATGTACATTTGAGAAAACACTATACATTTGGGTAATTTCTGCTGACAATCCAAAATGAATGTGAAACAATGTGATCAAACTTATTTCATTTTTCTCATATAAGACTTTTTCTAGGCACACAACATGCGACATGGTAAAGCGACTAGTCCAGATGCCATTTCTTCTGATTTTTTTCAAATGTTCGATTTATCGATTACGAGATATTTGAGGATATTGTTTGAATTATAGATTATGCAAATGCACAGATGATACTGGAATTGTCAAGTTAATGTATTGTAAAACACTTCTGAATATTTTAACTGTACTGTCACAGTGGTATTGGTGTGAGACACGGTAGTATTCTAAATCCTGTCTTCTCCTCCTTATTTATTGACGAATTATATAGAATGGTTTTGAATGTGGGTTATAATGGGATGCAGTTGACGCTAAAAAATGTTTGATTTGTTTACACGTCCATATGCAGATGACGTTATGTTTTCAGATTGAGTTGGTGGTGTACAGCGACTAATTTAGTAAAATTTGTATCAGTTTCTGGGTAGATGGAGCGCCCCTACGTTAGTAGTTTGGGTAACTTATTTCTCATCATCCTTTGCGGCCCGCCATCTTTTAGTTTGCTACTGTTTCAAATGTGTTCGCAGTCATCTATTCAACTTAATCTGCTTAATGCTCATGAATCAACATTC